TTCTGCAACCATAAGGACTAGAAACTTATTTTGTTTTTGTTTTTTAAATGAAAGCTGAGATTCTTCCATAGTCACATACTTCCAAGAGCTGGAACCTTAAGAAAAACATGAAATATCACAAGATTCATGATAAAATTGCAAGAGATAGGAAGACTACATTCATAAGCCCACCACACTCTTGTTCTTTAACTGATACATGTGATCATGGCTTGACTTTTAACAAAAATGTACCAATCCAAGGCAGTAGGCACAGATGAAATTTAGTTAAAAATAATTAAATTAAAATGTAGTCAGGGTCCATAATTAAAGCCTTCCCAAGGCCAGCAAAACAGGAAAGCAGAAAGACAAGAGTATTGTAATCAAATACCTTTGATCAAAACTAGGAATGGGTGAACTTGTTCCATCTAATTTCACACACACCTTGAATGGCGTGAGTTCAAGAGGTCAGCTCCATCTCAAATCCACTCTAGAAGCGAAGGGATGAGTTAAGAGAGAAAGATACAGTGAAGGAGAAGGTGGGAAAAGAGCAGATTGCGGACCACATTAAAGAAATGCAAACAACAAATGCATGAGAAAACAGAGCAAACGGGGAGAAAGACAAAATCCTAATGGAAACGACACATTATCTAAAAAGCACCCACTAGTGGCAGCTGATGGGGGGGAAAGGTCCGCTTTTCCACACAGCCCAAGTTTTCCTTCAGCTAGAAAGCCATGAAAAATTGAATCAGCTTTGGAATAAAGGTGGGATTTTCCCATTTGTTTTTTAATAGTAGAAGGTGGGGGGGAAGGAAAGGTTTGTGAACTCAAACTAGCTTTACAAGCCTAAAATAACATCCTGAGTTGGGAACAAACAAGGACTGAAATTTCCTAGGGGAGTGGGGAGATTTAATTATTGGGTTCACTGTACCTAATTACCACCACTTCATGCCGACTTACGTAGGGGTCTCCTTTTCTCCAGATCCTTTCCTGGCAAAAAATAATAATGTGATGCAATTGCAAAAAAGGCTAAAATTCTGAGGTGTGTTAACAGGAGTGTCGTATGTCTGACATGGGAGGTAATTGTCCTGCTCTACTTAGCATTGATAAGACCTCAGCTTGAGTACTACGTAGAGTTCTGGGTACCACCTTTCAGAAAAGATGTGGACAAATTGGAGAGCATCCAGAGGAGAGTAACAAAAAAGATAAAAGGTTTAGAAAACCTGACCTATGAGGAAAGGTTAAAAAAAAATCTGGGCATGTTTAGTCTTAAGAAAAGAAGACTGAAGGGGGAACCTGATAACAGTCTTCAAATATTTTAAGGGCAGTGTCATAAATATAAAGGGAAGGGTAAACACCTTTAAAATCCCTCCTGGCCAGAGGAAAAATCCTCTCACCTGTAAAGGGTTAAGAAGCTAAAGGTAACCTCGCTGGCACCTGACCAAAATGACCAATGAGGAGACAAGATACTTTCAAAAGCTGGGAGGAGGGAGAAAAACAAAGGGTCTGTGTCTGTCTGTGTGATGCTTTTGCCGGGGACAGAACAGGAATGGAGTCTTAGAACTTAGTAAGTAATCTAGCTAGGTATGTGTTAGATTTTGATTTCTTCAAATGGCTGAGAAAATAGCTGTGCTGAATAGAATGAATATTCCTGTCTGTGTGTCTTTTTTGTAACTTAAGGTTTTGCCTAGATGGATTTTCTATGTTTTGAATCTAATTACCCTGTAAGGTATTTACCATCCTGATTTTACAGAGGTGATTCTACAGAACGTGCCCCCATCTCACAGAACCTAGCACAATGGGGCCCTGGTGCATGACTGAGGCTCCTAGATGCTACCAGCATAGAAATATTGTAATTATTAAACTGCATTTTAAGACCTAGCATCATAGATTTACCTTCTAAAGTAATGTATAATGGCATTAATTGTAAGCCAACCAAATTTTAGATACAATGAAAAAAATAGGCATAATATATGAAAATTATTTAATCAGTATAAATACAATTTATCTTTTATTAGTAAAAATCAACGTTCAAAGGATCCATATAATCAATAAAATATCATGTAAATACTTTGCCTTGGTACTAGGGTGACCTGACAGTTACAAAAATCGGGACGGGGCAGGGGGCAATAGGAGCCTATATAAGAAAAAAGTCCCCAAAATTGGGACTGTCCCTATAAAATTGGGACATCTGGTCACCCTACTTCGTACCCAAATATTTTATTTGTTTATAATGGCAGATATAGTGGTAAATTTATGCATTTTGAAATAATATTCTATTTCACATATTCTGAAAGTATATTTAGAATAAAATTATTTGCTCAAGCTCTGATGAACCTGAAGTTTAATGAGAATGCATTCACCTAGGAATAGAGTGCAGTGGACAAGAATTAAATGTAACTGTTGGAGAAGCTTTTAAGTCAAAAAGTTGTACTGTTATTTTGATCAGATCTGATTTTAGACTGCCACATCTCTGCTGATATTTTGTAAAATCCTGCAGAGACCCGCCAGGTTCATATTAACATATCTGGGTAATGATTTCATATCTAATGTTAGAACAAAACAGCTTGTAAGAGGGACTATAAAAGGCAGCCCTTTTTCACATCCGTCCATACTAAATAAAGTAAATAAATAAATAAAGGCAACTAACCAACCAACCAAATAAGGCTATAAAATTTATAGCCAATTTTGTTATATTTCCTGGGCTTTCCTAGAAACATTCAGTATCTCATTATGACTCTCAGTTAGCAATTTAGACATGATGGGCATAGGTTTATCATTTTCCCGCCTTTTTCAGCCAGATCTGACAGACTCTGTGGGGGCAGCTGAAGGCCCAATTTAAGCACTTCAGGGAGGAATTTCTGAAGCAAACAAATAATATTTTCCCCTTCAGTGGTGCCTGGTATGAGATCTATTTTCTAGGTCATTCTGCTTCTCTTCATATTTGTCCATTCTTTTTCAGTGAGATAAATTTCACCCCTAAACTCATTAGTTTACACAGCAGTTTGTTATTCGTTTTCTATATAAGCCAGATGAGATTGAATACTGAAGGCCTCTCTAGAAAGGACAAAAATAATCTTTGAAATCATCTCCAATCTCTGTCAGATATTTTCAGTGCTGCCATGTCTTGAGTTAGACTCTGCAGGTCAGTGAGCCAGACTGGATCATTTGTTGGCCCTTTTAAACTCATGAATCTCTCTTTAATTACCCATATTTTATCCAGTCACTTAAGATTTAGCTTTTGAGAGAGAAACTTTTTGTCAATTTGTCCAAAAGATATTAATTTAGAATAAACTTGTGGGTGAGGAGTAAGGACATCCAACATCAGGCAGCCATCTTGCCAGGTACCATAAAACATGCTCCCACCTTTGTGCAATAATTTTTATTATAAAACACACAAGGTTACGTTGTGAAACCATCCATAAGTTACACTCATCACATTTCCTTCTCTACATCCCGATTATTGACAAAAAGAGAGACGAAGATATTCATCTGAAGAATGTTCCTCAGACCCCATTTATGGCACAATTATAACCACTCAGGGCACACGCTTACAAACACAATTTTTAAATTTGTTGCGTAGATGTGACCTTGACCACATTCTTTACCCAGGCTTGAATGGATCCAACTTTAGCCTTGCTAATAAAACAGATAAGTTCCATCAAAATGACAAGTTGGAAACACTTTCTAGCTGGGTCACTGGACAACTGTATTTTAATCAGATCTTGACTCAGCTGCAGCTGTAGTGTTGACAGGTCATTTGGGGATGTAGTCCACATTACGCTGGACACAACCACGTTGTGACTTGCCTGCTGTATGTACAAACTAACCTTTGCATTTCTACCTGAACAATGTACTGAAGCACATTATACCAGTGATTCTCAACTGGGGGTATGCAAGAGGTTTTCCAGGGGGTACATCAACTCATCTAGATATTTGCCTAGTTTTACAAAGGCTACATAAAAAGCACTAGCGAAGTCAGTACAAACTAAAATTTCGTACAATGACTTGTTTATATTGCTCTCTATACTGAATTGTAAGTACAATATTTATATTCCAATTGATTTCATAATTATATGGTAAAAACGAGGAAGTCAGCAGTTTTTCATTAATAATGTACTGTGTCATTTCTGCATTTTTATGTCTGATTTTGTAAGCAAGTAGATTTTAAGGGAAGCGAAACTTGGGGGACACAAGACAAATCAGACTCCTGAAAGCGGTACAATCGTCTGGAAAGGTTGAGAGCCGCTGCATTCTACAACAGTGATTTATACAACACTGATTCCTTGAACACCCACGAATCTAGCATTTCCTGGTGCCTGAGTGACAGGTGCGCTCCCAATGAGAACAATTTGCATTGTTAAGCATTTCAGTGCTTTTATTCGTATAGCACCTATTAGTTTAGAGTACACTAATGTAAAATGCCAGCTGCGCCCTTTTGCTTGCTTGCTGAGCAATGGCAAGAGCAAAAAAGAAGCTGTGTCAAAATTTCAAATACCTGTCCATTTTTCAGAACTGAATTGAGGGCAAAGTAAGGAGATGCTAAAAGACGCTGGCTCTATGGCTAACAATCTACAGAGGTGAATATTAAAAACAGTCACAATTCAGTAGTGCCAGTCATAAAACAAACCCCCTGATTCACAAATAAATACTGTCATAAAAAAATTGTGATTCCTGTTGAATCATGTTATTCAATGTGAAGTATTCAGGAAACCACTGTGTATTTGTGATGGGTTCACAACCCTCCAAATCTTCAAAAATTATAACAGGAATGAGTATTTGTCCACAAAATTCATCCCCTTAAATGTATTATTTACTGTTCAACTAGTTATTGATTATTCTCTTGTTTAAAAAGCTTCAGTCATCAAGTCAGGGAGCAGAAACAAAACTGTGCGACCAAGACAACCAACCATACAATAGCAAATAGCCGAAACAAAATCACAGACTGAAAATTAATCTTCCAAACTACTCAGTGAATACTTACTAAAAACCAAATTTGATTTTTAAAAAATAATTCTGACAAATAATTTCAATGTTTATTTTAAGCATTTTTATTTACATTTTCACAGTTGCACAAAATATTGTGTTTTAAGCTTTTTTAAAATTATTTTTAGCAGTTAAATTTTTACAGTTGTGGGAAATATTATGCCAGACACTGGGTGGGGAGGCCAGACAATTATTTAACAACAGCAGACATGGAGATTCAAAATGTTAAAGCTTTATCACCGTTAAAACAACTATTAACATGACATGTCAAAATATATAAAATAAATATCCTTAAATCAAACTCTAATCAGTTTTCAAGCAGTATTTTTCTTAGTTTACCTCTCTGTAAACTTCAGTCATCCTTGATGAAACTGCTTTTCCCCCATCAGTTTGTATGTGTGTAGTGAAATCAACTTTTACTGATAAATATCTAATCCTTCCAAGTCTAAATATATTCTGACAGAAGAGGCTCAGTGTTATGTTTTGGCACACACACAGAGAATTAGATTTTAAAAAACCCAATTATACTCTTCCTGGAAGGTTGCAACTTAACACTACTTTATTTCCTAGAATTGAGAACAACAACAACATGCAAGAATCTAAAAACAGAAGGAAAGAAAAACAGGTTGCTCCCTACCACAGGGAGGCACAACTCACCCCACCTTGCTTTAAGTGAGCTCTCTTCAAACTGACTCTTCTGTTCTGCTTTGCTATAGAATCTTCTACCCTGCAAGGAGGGCCTAGAACACCCCTCACCGCTGATGCTCCGACAGGGATCGCTTGCAATTCCAGCACAGTCCTCAATACAGCACACCTAGTTCATGAATTATTCATTAACCAGGGATTGGATCCTGCCAACTGCTGAGTACTCTGGCTGCATCCAATGAAACATTTAGGCATGTGACCAACTTTAAGGCCATAAATATTCCATTGATTTTGATCAGATTACTCTCACATGCTTAATGCTGAGCATGTGCTTAAAATGTTTTACTGGGCGGAGCCAGTGAGCTCAGCACCTTGCAGTACTGAGCCTCAAAAAAGGGGCTTAAATTCATGCTGAATATTGGACAAAATTTTCACACATAGAGGCTTCAAGTTAGACACTGAATTGCATATTTAGGCACCCAAGTGGCCTAATATGTCAAGATGCAGCAAGAGGTGCTACAGATGTATCTGAAAGCCCCCAAATCAGCTACCTCTTAAACAGCAGCACCAATAACAGGAGTAGAGAAAGGCAAAAAAATTTCAGTGCATACTAAATTTGCCAAAGAATGCATTTTTCAGGGCACCAAAATTATCTGAATTTAGGTCAAATCTGGCAAATAGTTTTGGTTAGAAAAAAAAATCTGGAAAAAGCATCTCCAGTTTTTAAATAAACCATTTTGTCATTTTTTAAAAAATGACTTTAAAATGAAATGGCAATTTGAATTCACATTCAAAACATTTCATTTGACCAAACAATTTGTTTGTTTTTGTTTTCTCCGTTTGGCAAGAAAAACTAAAAACCTTCACTTTCAGTTAGAAGCTAAACAGTATTTTTTTCAGCTCAGCAACTGAACTAAAATAAACAAACAATTTTTCACTCAGCTATAGTTGGGAGTAAGGAGAAGATTTTCAAGGACAGAAAATGCATTGGTATTTCCATTGAAAAAAAGACGGGAAAAGAAGCTGAGGTGCTTGAAGACATCAAAGCTACCTTGAAGTAGTAAATGTAGGCCAGAAGGATCTGAAATAGGGATGGGGGATCTTCTGAGACAGGCTTGAGCAATGACTAAATACAGAGAGCAAGGCTAAGAGGAGGGAACTGTTTCTTGACCATAACATTAGAATCAGTGATTTCTGTATGTGGAACTGCCGAGGTGCAGATTTGTCCATCTCTGTTCAAGGTTAACAGGACGTTTTGTACAATTTGTAAATAACTGGATGACCTAGAGAAGACAGCAACTGGGATGTATGCTTTCAGCAGCAGTAAATCAATGCTATTCCCCGCTCTTCTTGCAAGTTTTGTATCTTCTGGCTTGCTTTTTCAGATTGCCCTCAGATTTTCAATAAGCAGCTACCCTCAAATAATGCCCAAATCTACGTATTTTGTTGCCTTGCATCCAGCAAAGATACGGAACTCAGCTAACCGCTCTCGCTGTACCGGTCTAAGGGAATTTAGAGAGCTTTCTACCTATTGTGGCTCACTGTCACAAACCCTGGCTAGTTTCTGTAATATACACACATCCAACAATTCTTCCCCGGCCTAGCCTCACCACATACCAGTAAACAATGGCGTAGTTTGTGGCAACGAGGAGGAGAGCACCCACATAGTGCCAGCTGAAGCACATGGTGATGAACATGATGTTTCCATGGTCAGTGCGGTCCCAGGCTGGCCCACCCCAAGGTGGGTACAGCAGAAACCCAATCTGGTTGGAATGAAGGGATACATTATCTTCCAGAGAAGGAAGCAGGTCAACTCAGCTAACTGCTCACGTGCTGAGCGAGACCCTGGGGCTTTGTTTGCATCACTTTGCCCAGTTGTGGTGGGTGGAGAGGCATGCCTTCAGGGAAGGGGAGTAAAACATACGCAGCTTGCATTGTAGTTTCACTCTTTTCTGTGGTATGACTTCAAGCGGCTTGTGCCATGCACAGTAGGCAGGTCAACAGCTCTTTGTGTTGAACGCTGCAGAAAGGTCTTGTAGTAGGAACATGCAAATACTGCCTGTATCCATAGCCACAAGGAGGGTCGCATGCCTCTAACAAATCCCCCCAGCTCCATACATTAATTAGCAGTCTGGATAGGCTGACAGATAAGCACCACCTAATTGAATCTTCTTGCTTGGTTCATTTTCTCTTCTCTCTGTTCCCACTCCGAAATGTATAGAATCATGGAAAGCAGAGGTAGAAAAGGCCTACCTAGCCCCAGCACATCGAGTTCATGCACCCGAGCTTGTGCAGGAATGAGCCCTGTAGCACAATTTTCAGTGATTCCTCCAGCAGGAGTGGCACTTCCTTTAGGAGACTATTCCATAGCAAGAGCTCCCAGCCTGGAAATTTCCCCAGATATTTAGAGTGGCAGGGGGTGGAGAGGAGTGCTGAGCTAAATTTCAGAAATGTTTAGGATGGAAAAAAAAATTAAGACAAGTTTTTTTCCTTCTTGGTGCATTAGCTCAAGGTGTGTGTAAACATGCCTTTTTAAAATACTATTTTTATTTGTAGACACATGTACTTGAAAATTATATAATTAAATTATACTGTACACAAAAAACAATGAAATATACCATATTAACACACGAAAGAGAATGATGACCTTCCTGTATATCTCCCAGTACTCTAGCTGTAATCCAGGGGTTTTGGTCAAACCCATTTTAGTGTAGTTCATGAAATGCCAGTCTACGGTTTCGAACTCTACAGTTCAATGCTAAATCTCAATTCGATTCGGAAACTGGATTAGCTGAAGGGGGTGCAAATAGCTTAGCCAACCACGTAGATATGAGATTCCAAATGCCAACTTGCTCATGCAGTGTAGTCATAACATTAGAATGTCTACACCCAGTATCTATAGTATTATTTTAAAAAGGAAAAAAAAATTAGCACACTTTTCAGCTCTAAAGGGCATCTGCAGGGATGGGGGGGCGCGGGGAGAGAAAATTCTTACACCTTAGTTCTGTACATATTGCATAATGGGACATTGTGCACACTTTCCTCCCACCTTAGATACCCCATTGTAAAGTCTCAACTTTATTTAAAATGGCAAATAAAAATCTCATCTTAAGTGCTTTAAACAAGGTGGACAACCCTCAGGAAAGCAGAGAAGTCAGCCAAGTCCTCACTTTTCATCCAACCCATCCTCTGGGAGAAGGACGGGTTCAGGGCTTTGGTTGGTTTTCCGTAAACAAAACCCACAGTCGAGTTCGACATCGATATTTCCGAAGTTTGCCTGACATGCCTTTCTGTACCTGCATTAAAAAAAAAGAAAATAAAAATATTAATGTGCACACTGGCCTGATGATGAAACATTGATCTAATTAGTAACTGATTTGTGTAAAGTCACTAGGCTTTTTGTTATCTTTGTTACATTAAAAACTGTTCAACTCTTTGTAACATGGGATCCTTCACCATCATTTCTCCCATAAGAACATTTAATTTAGGCATATGCTTTTAGTCTGGTTATGTTAACCTGGTATATTCAGCTAGAAGACTGTTTGTGTCCTAAAAGCCCACTGCTACCAGTGTCAACGATGAGAGAATCAATTAAATATTTTCAAGCAACAACAATTAAGTTATTATGGAAGCACCCACCGTAAAAACACGTTGTTACCCATCAAACAGCAGCAGCTTTAGGTGCTTATTTGTTCTGATTCTCTCCTGCACTTGATACGTACATGTCACTCCCATTGGTACTAATCTGAATTCTGTGCACACAGCGAAATGTGAACAGGTTAATCAGCATAGCACTGCAGTGCTATTAAAAGTAGTTCTAATTATTGCACAAACTATCAGCCACTGACAAATAATGACTAGTTACTGTAAAGTAGACACAAATTGTTGTCTAGTCCTGGCATGCCACTGCCCCGCCCCACCACATACCAAGAAGAAAAAACAGAGTTGGCTGCTGTGACGAGAAGAGCAGCTGCGTAATGCCAGAAGAAGCACATGGTGAGGAATTTGAAGTTTCCATGGTCAGTCTGGTCCCAGCCTGGCCCTCCCCGCGGTGGGGACAGCACAAACCCAATCTGGTTAGAAGAAGAAAAAAATGAACCATTTTACAGAGAAAGACAGGTATCAGCCCCTCTAGCACATCTCGGTTATTATGTCAACATCCACCCATTGACTAGAAGCAGAATGCTCTTGGCTCACTATCAAACCACTGCCTGCACCAGTTCTCCCTGCTTGCAACAACCTCTTGGCTTGACAAACTTTTTTAAACAGGGGGATTTGTTAATGTTACATCAGTCTCTAACTCTTTAGATGCCAGAAATGAATACGCTCACCTTTACAATTCTGAACAGAAGGACGGACGCTGGGCAAACCTCAACCTCGCCTCCCCTCCCCTCCCCCAAACCCTTCTCCTGAGCACTAGAATTTGTCTAGTCCACGGTGCTGGACACAAGAAGATTAGAGAGGTTTCCTAGACAAGAAATATTATATAGAGTGGTTAAAAGAAACGCTTTGGAGTCAGACGACATGATTCTGTGTTTGAGCTCATTAGCAAAGCCTCACAACACTGTTTTAAAGTCAGGTGAATGCTACGACCATGAGGGGGGGACACCCAATTCAAGATTTTGTTATACTTGCAGTGGTCAATGTTGCATATATACTCAATTCTCCATATAGTAGCTGCAGTGCAAGAGAAGAGCATAAAACCTATGGCTTATGTGGTGAAATATTCAGGGCAATCTACAGAATCCAGAGATTAAATCCTTTTGACAATGACTTAAAATGCCTTAAAGAATTTTTTATTGGTCTTACCATGTCCTTTCCCCACAAAGCGAAACTGTACTACAAGAGCTGCTAAGCAATACAAACACAGATGGACATTCCTTCCCAAAGTAGGAGCTAAGTGATTTTTAAAGATCCAATGGGCAAAATTCACCCCTGGAGTAAATCCACTGAAGGTAATAGAGAATTTGGCCCAATGTGTCATTACCAAATATTATCTGGAAGAATGAACAGCTATATAGTTACATGGTATTTACTAAGAAACACCCAACAAGATCACCAATAATTAAAGGATACTAACCATTGGTCTATAAGGAGTAATGTTAGCTCTTTGGGGCTGTCTTTTTGTTCTGTGTTGGTACAGCACCTAACAGAATGGGTTCCTGCTCCATGACAGGGGCTCCTAGGTGCCGTCACAAAACAATCAATAACATCACTGCCTTCTCTCCTTTCCCTGTCCCCTCCAAACCTAAAGTTCAGCTGAAAGTATCAGATCAGAACAACTGACCTGCCAGAACCAGGATCCCTGGAGAATGAAAAAACTGGTTCTGAAGAACTCCAGGATGGTGTGATCCCGCAGGAACACTTCCATCAGGGCACAAAAGGCTCCGCCAAATATAGCGATGAGCAGCAAGGAGTGGAGGTGCTGATCCAGAGCAGTATTACTGTAGTCATGGAAACAGAACAAGAAACCTGCCAAAAATCAAACCACATTACATAATAATTAAATTGTATCAAGACAGTGAGTGAAGAGGATCATCAGTGACCATAGGAAGCGTGGGTTGCATTTAATGCAATAGATAGATACATTTTTTTCTGCTTTATGCATATGCAACTACCTGCCCATTAGGCAAAGACGGATATTTGAATTTTATGGGACAAATCAGGTGAGAGCTCCCCACTCTGATAATCTTCAATCATGGGGAGCGGCAAGGAGGACAAAACATTACACCCCATAGCACCAAGCTTAAAAAATTGCACCCCAAGACTATCTGCTTCCTCCAGCAAGGCAGAGCTTAAAGCTTCTTTTGCCCTAGTCTATAGTGTCTGCCCGATAGGGCATCAGATGGGTGCGTCTGCAGTACCCACTCCCTGTCCAAAACAGGAAGCAGCAATAAGAGTCATTCCAAGTCTCGGAGCAGAACAATGAGCTTTATACTGAAATGTCTTCCCTGCCAAGGATCAAGCCAAGGAAAAGAAGCTCCATTTCGGTCACTGCACATCACCATAAGCCACCACGAGAAGGATCAGGTCCTAACACACAATCAACCTCCTCCCCCATAATCACACAGGGCCATAGGAGAGGGGAAGGAGCTTCCTCTCCCTAAACCACCACTGCCATCTAGTGGCTGTAAAATATGCATAGCCTCCAAATATCCAACTCATCACTGCAGGCAGGACCCTATGCACGCCTGTTTCCCATGCCTCCAAAGCTGGTTCTGCCTTTCTGGTTATTAGAGCAAAGTTTGGTTCCCCTCTTTAGCGGTCACGTAGCGGACATCTACAATTGCTATGGCTGCCTTTGTTGTCCGCACAATATGGCTGAATTGGGATGCTGCACCACCAAAAACAAAGGGCCTTGGGACTGTTTCATTGCCCTGCTGGACGCATGTAATTAGAACCAGGAAAAATGCTCACAACAACAAGAACACAAAACCTCACAGAACTTGCCAGGATTCATTGCAGGTTCAAACCTTGGGCCACGTGCATTGAGAGCTTCAATTGAGGCTCTGAGACTTTTCACATGAACCTGGGCACCAGCCACAGTTTCATATCCAATCCCATCAAAATGTGATGCAGTGACTCATGAAGCAGTTTATTAGATCTCCAGCTATGTTCTCTCAACCAAGTTTCTGTCATCTGAAAAGTTCAAGTCAGCCAAATAGTTCATAGAATATCAGGGTTGGAAGGGACCCCAGAAGGTCATCTAGTCCAACCCCCTGCTCGAAGCAGGACCAATTCCCAGTTAAATCATCCCAGCCAGGGCTTTGTCAAGCCTGACCTTAAAAACCTCTAAGGAAGGAGATTCTACCACCTCCCTAGGTAACGCATTCCAGTGTTTCACCACCCTCTTAGTGAAAAAGTTTTTCCTAATATCCAATCTAAACCTCCCCCACTGCAACTTGAGTTCAGCCCTCAAGTTCAGCCCTTTTGTCATTACTTACTACTCACCTTCAGTAAACATAGCCACAGACAGCAAGAGGCGATCCAGTCCCAGAGACAGCTTGAGCGGGGAATAGGAGAGAACATCCACAATGCCCGAGAGGCCATAAAAGAGGTACATGGTCATGTACTGCCAGTTAGTCAGCTTCTCCCAGCTGTGGGTCTCCCCACTGTAGAGACCCATGTGGGGGCCGTCGGGGACAAACTGCTCAGCCAGCATCCCTAGACAGCAGAGGCAAATACAGATGATTTTTTTTCCTTCTAAATGAGGATAGGATGCAGAATATCATCCAGGCTGAAGAGAATGAGAAGTCCCAATGGAGTTTGTTTAGGATCACCTATTGGAGACACTTCCTGGTATGCAATTCATAAAGCATGCTTGTAGGGTGGTGTAGGGTTTGCCTGGTTGTTTTTGAGGATGCTGTAAGACTTCTATATAAAATGCTAAAATGAAGGCCACTAAGGCGTCTGAAAACAGAATCATCCATTTTCTGCCACGGGGCAAGTCCACAGAATCTCTGATGAGAGAATACTTGCAGCATGGGAATGGCAGGTTTTTCATGGGCCATTGGACTACTTGGGAAAGTAGTAGTGACTAATAGTCCATCCTTACCTGCTACAGCAAGGAAAGCTTTGGCTGCCCCTTCGAGGATATCCAGTTTTTGGATCCAGCGGCTTGCCTGACTGTCTGCATTCAGCGTCCGGCTCAAGTATTTTAGTGGGTATTTCACAGACCACCCGAGCCCAAAGACCAGGAAGAAAGTGCCCCTAAGGGCATTGCCTTTGAAGCTTGACATCACTGAGCCAACTTGCTGGATACCTGGGCCTGAAAGGATAACAATGTTCAAAGTCACCCTGTCATTGATCACCCTGACAACAGGATGACTCAGAGGAGCCTTGCCTCTCTAGATGCAGTGTCCTGGAGTCTGCAATGTTGTCACACCAAGGCACTTGGCTTCCTATGAAATCCCAATGCACATCTCTGTCCTTATAACAGAGTGGTAATCAACAGTGATTAGAAAAGAAATACAGAAAGAGCCACGATACCACTGGAGGAGAAGGGGGAAGGATTTGCATAATAAATGGATTGCACATGGCAGGGGCTTTTTAATGCTATGGGAAATCATAGAATCATAGTACTGGAAGGGACCTCAAGAGGTCATCTAATCCAGTCCCCTGCACTCGTGGCAGGACTAATTATTTAGACCATTCCCTTGATAATATTTACAGAAGAGCAGGGCAGCCAGATGCTTTTTAAATGGGAAGGAAGCAAAGTTATTGCTGGCAAAAAGCAAGTAGGTAAGATTTTTAGGAACATTAACTCCCTTCAGGCAAAGTAATTAATAGGGTGCAAGTCCAGCCAGCCAGGTTGGATGTGATTTCTTAATCGCTCCAGAGAACTTTGGCTTCATTAAAACTTGAATACTGAACTACCGAGATAAACAAATGAGATTCCTATAAAGTTAAGATGACCAGACATCCCAGGTTTTGGGGAACAGCCTAGAATCCCACGTACAAAAATGCAAGGATCACAGAGCACATATGGAAAATGTAACAATGACTACATTGGCACGTCCATGCATGATTCTCACATCAAGCATGTGAGATGCATTGACACCAGACTTAGAGATTGAATCTTCAGAAACAAGGAGACAGTTAATGTCTGAGGGCATTGTTTTCTGTGTTGGACTCACAGAGCAAGGCCAGAGGTGGGAACCGGTTGACATAAAACAAAACAAACAAAAATCAAAACAGAAGTTGAGATCCAATGAGCATTTCTGGCCATGGGAAAGTGGGAAACTGTACACTTTGAGGAATATTAACTGGCACTCAAAATCTAGCAAGAGGTCCAAGAAACTCGTGCAGCGAGCACAGGAATGCACAAGAAGTTATCATTCAAATGCTTGCTACAAAATTCTCATGCTGTGCTTTAAATAAATATTCTCTTGGGACAGTCTCATTTCCTCTTAGTACCCTCCTGCTACTTAAACCTTCCTTTTGCCGTTTTGTACCCTTCCATTCTTCTTCATGCATTCTCCTGTGTCATTCTTGCACTGGGAAACACGTCCCCTTTTGTGCCACACAAACCTTCCTCTCTTTCATCAGATCTTTATCACTCTCCTTCCACTAAGACTAATAATAACCCACCAAAAAGAGAGACAGACACTGTACTCTGATGATATTGAACCTTTCCTGTTTATATCATATGTTAGTGTCCAGTTTATACTGTGAACCCCTTGGGGCAGTGATTATCCTTATGGAATGTTTGTAGAGTCCTGAGCACATGGGCTGTCAGAATCTAGATCGACAACACCTTGGCACATTTTCTAAGTCCTCCCATGCTCGGAGTAATTAGGTGTGCAATTCAAAATTAAGATAGGGTGTGGTATGGATAGGTACTGGATATTAGGGATGAGGACGGCTTTACAAAACCTCAAAAGGTTGGGTTTGTGTTTTGCAAAACCCAAGTCAGGACAGATTGGCTCTGGCCTCATTTTCTCCAAGTGGAGTTGATTAAAATAAGTGATTCTGGTTTTGGATCATCTTTACACCTATATGCTCAGATAAAAGCATTATCCTTTATGCCACCAGGGCCTACCTTTCATTCTTACTTAGAACATCTATGTACAATGAGTTATGATGGGTCTCAGTTTAAAAAGTAACACCTAAAAAAGTCCCCATTGACACGGCACAGGAACACCCATATATTTCTCATCACGGACAGAGGTTAATAGTAGGGTATCTTGGAAATCAATACTAGAACTAATTGTATTCTGTGGTCCAGCTGGCATAAATGGTCATAGCTCCCTTGACCCAAATGGAGCTGTGTTAATTTATGCCTGTTGATGATCTAGCCCGGTAGACACATTTATTAGTAACTTGGCATATGGAGTGAATGGGGAGGTAGCAAAAGCTGTTGTGAAATATTTAGGTTGGAGAAGGATTGTGAAGAATGACAAAATGAATTTAAAAACCTTAATGGGCAGCCAGAATGGCAAAATAAAATGTAAAATAGTAAGTGTGAATTAATGGACACAGAAAGGAATGTTTTAAGCCACTCAGAGTAGTTGGTCTGAATGAGATTCTCTCGCATGCAGAGGATTGCGGTGTTATTGAAGATGGCCATGTCTTTTAACAACTCTGTGCACTGAGCAATCTATGTATTGCCATAAGTGAACAAGATGCTTTGCAGAGTAATAGGAAGACAACGTCTCCATCTCAAAGAGCTTACATTCCAAATTAGACAGATAATTATAGACAATGGGTCAGGAGTGTGGGGAAGGGGAAAACACCTGGAGAGGGGAGGAGAAAAAGAGAGTCACTTTTTTTTGAGAAGACTGTATTTTCATTCTTGCAGGACATGTACACTGTAGGTGTTTGTTTTGCATTTGTGTTTCCCCAAATATAATTAGGGGTCAGAGAGGAAATGGATTGCACCTGAGGGGAGATAAGTGGCAGAAGCTAAGACAAAGGAAGTGACTTTTAGAGAGGGATCTGAAAGCAGAGAGTCTATTAAACACAATGTGTGTCATATGTAAAATTATATGTAAGCTCTTTGGGGGCAGGAACTAAGTCTTATTTGTTCATTAACACACTTTGCATAATTTTAGGTACTGTACCTATAATAAATACAACCCTTTCTGGACTCTGAACTCACCATTTTGACAGATAATAGTTTAGAGGCACACCAGTTGGAAAGACAGGGTTTTTTTGTTTTTTTTTTTAAGAAGAATTATGGTTAGCACCGAGGTCAGACACTTTCAAATTACTAAAAACAAATAAATAAACACAGTATCTTTCAACCAGCCCCATGGCACTAACTGTGAAACCTACTTCATCACATCTCCTGCTTTATCAGCTGTGTAATTTAGATATAGATCCATGGGGAAAATGGACTAAATTCTAAGCAAGTTGTAGTTTAGAAACAAACCCAGATCAGCTGCAAAGAATCAAAAACTTGGCTCATATTTTACAGTGAACTAATCTGCATTCCAGTAGACTGGGAATATGGCTTTGATCAGAAGGTATTGTTATCTGAGTTTCCCTTCTCTCTGTTCTGGCAGACTGCAATGCTTTTGAGATTTTGAGGTCACTTGCCTGATAGTCATATAAGACACCTGCATTATCGCCCTAAAGAGCGTTTCATCGTTGCATTGACTGCTGTGTTCAGTCTCCCCGTGTTCTGTTTTTTAGCTCTTCAGCTCCAAACCCTGATCTCTTTTATATGCCTTCTCCCCTATCTCAAATACCCCAGGACCTGTTCACCTAACAGAGATGGGTTCAGCTTATTGCTTACTTCATAACAGGGCACTGGTGCAACAGTCTGTGCAGAGAAATGTGCTTTGTTGCATTTTAAATTAATCAGGGCTTTACAACCTCTTCCCCCAATGGGAAAGATAGGTGCCTGTGTGGGAGGAGAAGCGATAGACGGGACAATATGAACAGCAGTTATTTCTAGAGAGGAGTTTGGACCAATCCCCTAAGATCTGAGCAGCCCTTAACTTCATCTGTGGAAGGGGCCTGAAATACTGACAGTGTCTTGGAACCTGCCCAGCTGTGTTGATAAATACCAGCCTATGCCACAAAGCCCTTTGGCCAAGCTCTAGAGCTCAAGTGGGCCCATTTAGTCATGAACATTCACAGGGCATTGCAAATCCCTTTCCAATTTGGCAAGGTTCACATCCCCTTTCCCAAGAACAGGGTTTCATTTGCATGGGAGGAGGGGACACGGCTGTTATCCCTGCGAATAGCTGAATGTGCACGTACCCATGACTCTTGGTTCCACAAGCACCTGCTCTCTGCTCAGAAGGATTCCAGTCAGCCCATCAGGGGACGCGGCAATGCGAATTTTTGGTGACCAATCACAGCACTTATAAGGAGAACCGCCATGGTAAATAATTCACATACATTCATAAAAAAAAAAAGCAAACAATCAGAGCCTGCTTGTGGATAATTTGCCAAGAGGAGAAAGAGAGCTCCTCAGCTGGTTGACTGCCATGCACACACACCTGGAAGCATCTGCTTTCTGGATGTTGAGCTGCTGGCTGACCTCGCCCAGTGGTTAGGCTGGTGGAGGGGATCCCTGAGGAAGGAGGGACCTTCAGCTCAGCATAGCCTTCCAACATCCTCCAAAAACCAATCGCTGGAAGATCCTTTTCACTAAAGATCACTAAGTTTAAGAGCCAGACAGTGACTCTTTTGGGGGGTGGGGTGGGGAAAAAGAGGGGTTAACCATGGGAACTCGAAAAGACCTCCTGAGCATCTCTTCATCCCAACAGCATGAAACGTATTCCCAGCTTGTTCCCCCTTGCATCTAGATCACCCTTCCTTCCAGCTCCCTAGACCTTAGAAAGCTCAGAAAGCCAGGTTCACACACAGACCATTCAGCATCTCCCCATGGAAGGGAGGAGGAAGGGGAATTTACCTGTGCTGTCTGCACTGCCTGCTTCCTTCCTGCTGCAGAGGTGAGGTGCACCTGTTCCCACTCGCACTCCAGATGTGAGCAGCAGCAGCGGTAAGAAGAAGTGAGATGGAAGTCCCAGATAAGGGGAGGAGTAGAGCAGGGAGGTGACTCTCCATCCGGATGCTCCACCCTAAACATCTTCAAACCAGATCAGAAAAGGTCTGAGTCAACCAGTTTTCACAATGATTGACACCTGTTTGCTGCTGTATTTCCCAAGGAAAGTTAACGTTCTTCTGTCATTTCACCATAAAATTAAAAAACAAACAAACCCAACACTAAATTTTTGTTCTTGTGATAACCTGGCTTACTCAGGTTACATCATATTCAGGTTTT